GGTTGGTTGGCAGCCCAGGCAAACAAGAGGAGTTTGAAAGGAAAGGTGTGAATTGAAACTGGCCCCTTTCATCAGCAGCACCAGCGAGAATCATCACGGAGTGTGAGGGTTTCCGTGCCAATTGCCACTAGCCTGATTAAAGAGAAATCAATTCGGTCTTTATTTGACAAAGTGTCTGCCTTTTGTAAAGTATATTACCAAATGTGGTATTTCCAGGTGACATCAAGGTCTGTGACAGCAAAAACCTCAGAGCTAAGCATTGAGGGTGCTGCTAGGTAGAGCATTTTAATGGAAGAATAAAGTTGAACAAAGGGTCCAACAAAACACTAGCAAACAGTTTTCTGGAAAAATAATTATTTTAGTAATTTGGGGGGTTCTTTTTATCCAAATTTTGAATAGCTATAGTTTCAGTTGAGAAGGATATAAGTGACTTGAATCCATACACCATTTAGCTGGGTCACACACACATTTGTTCTTTGGGTTCACGTGCTCTGCAGCAATTTTTGCTTGTTTTTGGGTGGTGTCTGCCACAGTATTGTGTTGCCTTTCCTGACAGTTGTATTACTTCACAATTGTATTTTTAAGTGCTTTTGAAGTATAATTAAGGATGTTTGCATCATCTTTCGCATGCAGACATGAACTCATTCTTCCTGCAGCCCAAAGCAACTGGTGTGACCCCATTCAGACCTACGGGTTTGCATTGAAATCAAAACAGGATTAAAAGTAGCTAAGAGGTTTGTTCAATGCAGTTAAAGAATCAGCTTCAAGACTGGGACAACAGTTTAGTAGGCTTTTTGAAACAAATCTCTTAGTGTAAGTGTGGGTTTATTTTCAGCTGGGTTTATCAGCAGTATCTGTGCAATGTCGGGGGGCAATCGTGCTAATTGGCTCCATCACTGGAACTGCTGTGCAAGAGTAGCCCTGCAGATTCATTATCACGACTGAGCTCCTGTGTATTCCTTGGAATTAAACACACCATGAGGAGAGTCTGGCTCCAGCTTCCACTAGTGCTGCATGGGAAGTTTCCCCTAGAGATCCAGTCCACAAAAAAAGTCTCCCTTGAATTGATTATGCAAGGCAAGCGAAGCATTATATTTACTGGTGTGTTGTGCAAGCAGGAGGAAATGAAATCTCTTTGTAATAGGTAATAAATATAGTAATCACTTTGAGGTTTATTTGTTAATACAGCTTTTGTATTTTTAATATCCATGGTGTTTTTTGTAGACCGCGTCCCGATTTCTTTTACCGCTGCTTTCCAGATGGAGTAATGAACTCTGAAATGCACTGCACAGGTGATCCAGATCTGGTGTCTGAAGGCAGAAAAAGCTTTCCGAGTATCCATTCTTCCTGTAAGTTTATTCAAATGCAATAACTCCTTGTCCAAAGTTTTAGTAATCTGTGTTTCAGAAGGGCTCTTTTTTTGGTTAGGTCATGAGCCTGATTTTTGCTGGAGGGGTCTGTGCTTCTGTGTTAGGCCATCAACTGCCAAAAATTTTCTCCTGGAAGTAAAGTTGCGAGCCCAAGACTTTTCTTTATCTTGGGAACCAGCTGTCTCCACTGACAGCCACAGCAGGACTGTCAGTAGAGTGAAGAACTATTCAAGACTAAAGAAAACACCATGGTTCCCACGGATTAAATGGTTCCTAATAACGGAGACCTCTGCATGCAAATTTCATCCATACTGTACATATTTATATTCCAATAAAATATGTCAGAACATATCATATGATATGTCTGACTTAGAATAGTTTTGATAAGATCTAGTTTTTATTGTTTTGAATCACCAAATCTACTGAACCACTGCTCAAGTTGCAAAGGTAGTTCAGCTATTCTTATTTTTAAGGTATAAAATACAATACAAAAATACAATGATAATCATTAAGTTTTTCTTCATGGGAAGCTGTATGTTTGGAGGTGGAACATGCTAAAAATAGTATACAGATGTCATACTGCATCACATTATTCATCATAACGATCTGGTTCAAGAAGTCCCCATGCTGCTAGAAGCTATCACAATATGCTGGTAGAGGATCATTCTTTCATTTCCTCTTCTCTTACTCACTGGCGTCAGTTAGCTCTGGCTGTGGCTTAGGATGGGATCCTTGGCCACGTGGACCTTTCTTCTGAACAGTTGTTAAACTTTCACATTCAGCTGGGACACTCCAGGGGTGCTTTGCCTGGGCACATGCAGAAGTAGATGGTAGCTCTGTACCCAGCTCAAGCAATATAGGAAGCACCTAGAAAATCCTCACTCTCTGTCTGCATGAGGTAATCGGGTAACAGGTGATTCAGAAATACCTTATTTGGAGGAGCAGGTGGCAGACAAGTAAATTGGGCACAATTTGGGATTTCATGAGTTCCTTTCTGCTCCTAAGATAGCACAGCCAACACTGAAAAGAGTTTGGCCCTATCCTCTTGATATCCTCCCTTCAGATATTTATATGCATTGATCAGATCCACCCCAAGTTTCTCTTCTCCAGACTGAACAATCCCAGCGTGCTCAGCCTTTCCTTGTATAAGAAATGCTCTATTCCTTTAATCATCTTGGCAGCTCTTTGCTGGACTAACTCCTGTAGCTCCAGGTCTCCCTTGTATTGGGGCGACATTATTATTATGAAATAATAAGAAGAGCTCAGGTTTACTTAGTGACTGTCTCTGAATGTTTTATTTATGAATTGGTCTGCAATGTTTGCTGTTTAAGCTTTATTTTTCAGTTTAGAGATTGCTCTCATAGATTTCAGGAAGTTGCAGGAAGCTACTTTGATGCCTTTGTGCCAAATAAAAAAGGAACCCTTTGGTGAGAGGTAATTTTGAGCTCCTTGGAGCTTGTACTTTTTAATTTAATGTCAGTAGTCAGTGGCAGATCAAGCCCATAATTGTCATGAATTTCCACACATGCAGCTTGAAATTGGTAATGTTGTGAATAGTGGTTTGCTAATCTGGTTTGTACCAGCTTATACTTTGAGTCACAGATTTACAGAATCACTAAATTTGGAAGGGGCCTCTGGAGACTGTCTGGTCCAGCCGCCCTGCCTAGAACAGGATGAGCTACAGCAGCTTGCTGCAGACCATGTCCTGTTGGGTTTTGGATATCTTTTTGAGAGTGGAGGTTCCACAGCTTTTCTGGGCAACCTTATCCTGTAGCTGATGGACTTTGCAGTAAAATGTTTAGTCTTCGTTATGTTCAAATAGAATTTGCAATATTTTACTTAGAGGTGTTGCCTCTTATGCTTTCACTGGATAGCACTGAGAAGAGCCTTGTGTTGTCTTTCCTTCTGCCTCCCATCAGGTATTTATATCAGTGACTCCCCTAAGCCTTCTTTTCTTGATGCTGGACAATCCCAGCTCTTTATGACCCTTCATTGGACTTGCTCCAGGGTGTTCTTGCCTCTTGTACTGGGGCGTCCACCACTGAACCCAGCACTTTAGAGCTGACCTCACCAGGATCATCTCTCCTGACCTGCTGGCAACCTTCATCTAATGCAGCCCAGGTTGCTGCTCTCCTCCTTTGCTGCAAGGACTCATTCCTGGCTCATCCTCAACTTGCTGTCCACCATAGCAAGAGCCTTTTCTGCAAAGCTGCTTTCCAGCTGGTCAACCCCAGGGTGCATGGGGCTGTTCTTCACCAGACACAGGACTGTGCATGTCCTTTGTGTGCCTTCTGCTGAGCACCAATCTCAAATAGAAAGATGCAAATGGATTTCATAAAACTTTGTAACCTCAAGACAAACCTGATAAAAATCAGCTGAATAATAGAGTTGCTGAAGACATAATTAAACTTGCAATTCCATGTTAGAGCTGGATAGATTTATGTTAATAAATTTGATTAAAAAATAGTACTTTCCATATAAAAAGTGCTGTACGAGCAGTAATGCAAGTGAAATGATCTTATGCATTTTTCCTGTAAAGTATTTCTGCAATATTATTTTTGTGGCAGGGATCTTAACATAAGGTAGTTTAAAAAGGTGACTTCTAGCTATTTTTTTTTTAATAGTAGAAATCTTCATAGATTCCAGAGGCTCTTTTTTCAAGGAAAAATTAAAGTTTTAAGAAAATGTTTATTTACAAATATTTCCATTTGATTTGACAATTGCACTTCCAGCATGATTGTTATCACTCTGTTATAGGTGTGCTCTTTTTCTGGTCTTCTCTTTGCATTGCATTGGTTGAAAAAGAGTTGTGGCACTTACTTGTGTTGAACACAGACTGTGTTGAACACAGTCAAAAAAACAGTGAATTTCATCAGAAAACTGAGATGAAGCAGGTAAACATCTATTTGGTTGTAAGGGCAAGAACAATGGCTATGTCGTTTGTTTCTCAATTACTTTCTCCCTTGGTGAATTAAGCCCTCTTAATATGTTTGAAAAAATAATGACCCTTTTGAAATGGGAAAAGAAAATGATTTCATCTCTCTTTCAAGATATAGCATACATTTGCCTTACAGTTTTCTCAGACAAGATGGCAAGCCACATGTAAATACTTCTTTTTAGATCCTGGTTGACACCCTTTATATAGGAAGCTTATGCTTTATTTAAAAGAAACATTTGCTTTCAGTGTATATTTTGAGAATGTGCACTTTTCATACAAGAATCCCCCACAAAGTCATGTGTCACTACCAATGGCCCAAGTTCGCTGTGGCCAGATTTTTAAAGATTATTGTTTCAGGTTCTAGCAGCGTGAGGAGTGAATTTCTCACAGCCTCACTTTTCCGTATGAGCCTTTGTAGATGCAAATTCATCATAAATTGAGGTTAATGTCTATTTTGAGGAGGAAATCATTGCTAAAGAGGACCGAAATCATTGCTAAAACTGAGTTAGCTGAAGAATTCCTATGTTTTAATAATCACTGCCGCATCTAAGAAATCATCAGCAAAAAGGATTAATGGGAGCCATAGGATATGCACGAGGATATCTGTGATCATTTGTGGCAAGAAACAGCAGTGTCTCGGAGAAAGAAACGGAGAAAGGAACCAAAAACAACAATAGGAAAAACTAGTACGTTACCCTTTTCTACTGTAATAACAAATGTAGTTACATCTTTAGGCCAGTCCTGAACAGTAATTTCCTACTTTTAACTAGCCAGATTATGTTACAAATGACAGCAGTAATTGCTCCTGTCTTGTATGAGCTTAAGGTTATGTGAGAAAAATTCTCTTGTAGAGATCCACCAGCGCTATTTGCAAATGAGAGTAAGGAGAGGAATCCCAGCTGCCTTTTTCTCCCTGCATTTCCATCTTTTCCTATGCGAGGAAATCGACTCCCATGTGCTGTAAATATAAGCAATGTGCATACCTTTTGCTTCAATTCTGACATGCTTCCCAGAAGTGTGACTTTAGGGAGAAGTGAATATTCCCGTCATTGTATTTGACAGTTGTCATTGAATACTGGTGACAGGAGGAAGGTTGACTGTGCTCATCATCACCCTCATCCCTGCAGAGCGTCCCATGTTCACAAACGGCAATAAACAGTGCTCAGGCCGTGGTTCTTCTATCCAGAAGTTTCTGCTCTCATCTTTTTCTAGGAAGAGAACAAGAGATAATTTTCACAAACTACTAAAATTTGAGTATATTAAGTCATCTAGATACCAATTTATTAAGTGGTTATGATGCATATTATTATGGTAAATTAGGCAGGTAAATAACCACCTATTTTCTGTATGGAAATATATATCGGTGCAGGGATGCTATTTGTCATAGCCATTGCTCACAACTTATCTGTCTGAGGATACAGGGAGTCAGAAAGCCCCAGACTGGTTTGAAATTGGATGACTCTCAGCTTAGGCCTATAGATAGAAGAGGCTGGTATATCAGCTTCTGACCATCTTTAGGAAAGAAATAGAACAAAATCTTCTTCTAAAATAAATAAAACAAGAAACCTCACCATAACACTATTCTATTCCAAACTGGTGAATGCTAAGATTCTGTGAAATTGCCATTGTGGCTTAGTCCCAGCAGCCCACTCTGAAATATAGTTGATCTGTTTTTGTATAGCATTTTTCTGTAAGAACAAACCAAGTGTAGAGGTATTACTAAAGCTGATTTGCTGTTAGCTCTTCTCAGGTTATATATTTGTGATGTGGAGTGTTCAGTAAGGCCTGTGAAGCTCAGCAGTGGACTGCTTTAGGCAGCACAAGGAGGAATTGAACCTCATATATGAGGAGATAAATCACAGAATGGTAGAGGTTGGAAGGAAACTCTAGAAATCATCCAGTCCAAACCCCCACAAACAGCTAAAGCCAAACCGTGCGTTGTTTGCATGTTCATTGCTTCATTGCATCAGAATCTTCTGCTCTTTCTGCATGGGCTAATTTTAATTTCACATCAAAGTCTGAACACGGGAAGGATATTCCT